CTTTTTCTATATTTTTTGGGATGTTGCTTTTGACCAGGGCTTGAACCCATCCATTTACTGGAAAGAATAAAACAGTGGGTAACCTGATATAAAACCGCCTATCGCTCTGCAATACCTACTGCAATCAAAGCTTGTGCGCAAAGATGTTAAAAGTGTCGAAAAAGATCAACCGACACCAATCGGTTGAAAATTTCTCCTTCGCCCACTCGTCTCAGTACCCTTGATCACGCAATGACTTGATAACCATCAAGGTTTTGTCGTATTTCCGGCTTCAAAAACTAGAAAAGTGTCAAAATATTCCTTGAAAATCTTTAATGTGACCATCTGGCATTTTCGAACTAGCTGCAGAGATGGGTCGATCTTCCACTCAGCAGTCGAAATGGGGAAATAATAACAAATATAAATACAAAACAGACATAAATTCTTATAAATTATTTAATTTTATGCCAGATTTAATGAATCGATAGGGCGTTTTGAGCCGAATTCTGAAACAGGGTGTTCTTGAAAAGTTTTCTTAGATAAGGTGTATTCGACAAATTTTCTGAGATAGGTCGATCTTCTATTCAGGTGTCGATATTTACTAGTCTGGCCATTCATGAGCTCTCTTATCTGCAACCCTTTTACTTAGAACGAGTTATTCCATAGAAAATTAAACATAACTTCGTACTTATCATCACTCCCTTCCAAAAGCGAATTTTCAAACGAATTATAAGGCAGCCATATGTACATACATATATTATGGTTTACTTAATCATGATTCAAGGGAAACGAATAAGAATAGTTTATATAATGCCATCCTACAACCGGGCACGTATAGAAAATGTACACGAATCTATTTACATACTTGAATATGTACGTTAGGGTCGTCCAAAAACACGCAGGGAAATTAACTTTATGGAATTTTCCCGCTGCCATATACATAATAAAAATAAATATATTTAGATCGAATAAAAATATTTCTCTTCAAAAATATTCAAAATCAAAATTATTTAAAATTTTACTAACTATTTTTGGGCTACCCTAATCACATGCATGAATTTTATGAATTGACGTGTTACTTTTTCCAATTACTCTTATGAGACACAGCCTCTGAATTTTATGAGTCACAAATTCAAAATCAAAATTATTTAAAATTTTACTAACTGTTTTTGGATCACCCTAATTACATGCATGCATTTTATGAATTGACGTGTTACTTTTTCCAATAACTCTTATGAGAGCCTCTGAATTTTATGAGTCACAAACCCATTTCGCCCCACTGGAAGCCAAAACAGGCATTCATCCTTCATAGAACAAGTAGATAATTCCATTAAATAAAAAACTATAAATTTATTTTAAATAAATTTCTTAAAAAGAGACCTCCGAAAACCCCATCTCGCCTCATTGCTGCTCCACGCGCCCAAACTGAGGTCGAAAGTGTCTTGCCAAAGGAAGTGGGGGTTGTTGCACAGGCATATCAACAATTTCCCGATTTGCAGGCAGCCTTTCATTTCTTGGTTGCTTTAGAAAATTATGAAATGGATCATTATTTATTTCATTTGCAGTTTGAACAGGGTTCCCATTGAATATTGCGTTAAATCTTTGAGCATTTTCTTCGATGGGCATCACTTTTGGCACAGGGTTTGTGTTAAATATGGAATTTATTCGCTGTCCGACGTCATCGCCAGCGAAGACAGTACCTGCGTTAAATGCGCTATCAATCTTTTGTGTATTATCTTGAATTGTAATCCAATTCGGCGCAGGATTTCTATTAAGTACACTCGTAGGTGGTATATTTTGATAATCAACAGCATTTGGCCATCCAACTGGAGCAGGTACACCATTCAGATGTTGAGTATTAACTTCGATAGGAATGCCACTCGGTAATGGACTGTCATTGAGTTTAATATTTATGCCACGCGTATTGTTATTATTTATGTTTCCGAGCGGGTTGTTTCTTCCATCATTCACTGGAGTATTATCTTCGATTGGTATGCCACTTGTTGCAGTATTTGTATTGAATATAGCATTTATGCGTTGGGCAGCGTCAGCATCTATGCTTCCAAATGCTGCGCCAGTTGGCGTCAGATTTCCATTAAATACCGAATTAATTTGTCGAGTCTGGTCTATGCCATTAATTTTATTTCCAATCGGAATCAGCTGTTCATTGAATATTTCGTTAATCCTTTGTGTATTATCTACAGGCGGAATCCCACTCGGAAGGGGGTTCAGATTAAATATTGCATCTAATCTTTGGTTAGTATCCGCCAGCGGAATTCTACTAGGTACCGGGTTCACATTAAATATTGCATCTAATCTTTGAGTATCAGCCGCATTTGAGAGACTGACTGGCGCAGAATTTGCATTTAGTATACCGTTAATGCCTCCAGCATTGCCCTCTATCAGTGTAGCCTGCTGATCAGGATTTGTATTGAATATATCATTTATTCTGCGCGCATTTTCTTCGTTTATGCCTTCATCCGTTAAGGGTCTTTGGTTCGAAATTTGATTACCATTGAATATAGTATTTTCTCTCGCGGAGTTATCTACCTTTGGCCAACTAACTGGAGCGGATTCATCTTTACTCCTGCTAACGCTCTCTCCGTCTATATTGCTCTCCTTTAAGTTATTTGAGAACCAAAAATTTGCTGGTATCGGTTGTATAGTTCTTGTGGTTGTTTCATCTTCTAGCGGCGCACGAAATTCAAATGGTTTGAAGATATCTTCTAATTTATTTGGCAGTGCCTTTGCTGCAGGTGCTGGAGCTTGTCTAGCATTGAAGGAGTATTGAAAAAGTAGCTATTAACTAATAAGAAGTGTGTGTGTAGGTATGCGTTTCAAACTTACGGACAACAGATTATCTCCTCTGTAGTTGTAAAGCCACAATGGCCAACATCGGCCGATTTCAAGGTCATTTCTTTCATTAGCACAGGCAGTTGCATACATTTACTGGCTCTCAAACAGATGCCTTTGTAGATACCAAAATCACAGGGGTCGTCCTCTATAAGGTATGTATTTAAATTTTAGGTTTCATATGTGCCTAATAGAAAAGATGGCATTAACTATGCCTACTCACCATAGTACATTTGTGCAGCGCTAAATCGTCTAAGGGTAAGGCAAATGAGAATTAGTCGACTGACCAAACAAAGTTCATCAGTTGGAAGCATTTTTTTATACAGCGAAGTTGGACTGGTAATATAAAAGCTAAATTGGAATAGAATTAAATAAAATAACTTTTATTTTATAGTTTCCATATTTTGTATAACCACTATTGTATGTACATATGCAAAGTGTATGTTTGCGTATTTTTCGCAAAAACATTTACTTTCTCGTTATCAAATGCATTAAATTCGTAATTGACTCAACTTTTCATCTTCTATTAGGCAAATATTGCTCAAGATTTCTAAATTACCGTATTGAATACATATATTTTTTGATTGTTAATTACTTTTTAATTATAAATTTCTCAACACACTGCTTTTGATTTTATATACGTGCTAATAAAAGCTTGCCATCATGGCTACTAAAATAATCCATGAGTGAGCTAGTTATTCATGTCGTGTGAGAAATATGTATAAGAAACGTCCAAGCGTGCATGCATTTTTGCTGATAATTCCTCGGGTTATTCCGATTGAGTGATTATGAGCAATACACGGTGACATTATTGCATAGTGTAAGGCAAGAAAATAAGGAAGGGAATGGCGGGCTTGGTGGAGCACGATTTAGGTTGAAATCAAGATTAGTACTTAGATTAAAATTAAGATTAGGATCGAAATTAAGATTAAAATTAATGCTAAGATTAAGATTAGAATTAAGATTAAGGTTAAGATGAATGCAAAGATTAACAACCAAAAAGGAAATAAAGATTCAAATTAAGATTAAGGTTATAACTAAAATTAAGATTAAGCTTAGATTAGGATTAAGATTAAAATTAAGATTAAAATTTAAACAAGATTTAAATTAACAGGGGAAATTCTGGCAACTGTCTTTTAACTCATCACAGTTTTTCGATAGACAAAAGTCTTTCGTAAGACAATTGTCAATTCTGGCAACTATGTATCTTGAAATCTCTTTACTGCCTTTCGAAAGACTAGTTGAAAGATCTTCTATCGACGAGGTTTTAGCGTTATGCTGTTCGGCATTTATCAATGAGTTCATTTTAAATTAACAAGTAATTTTTAGCAAACAAAAAAACCGACTTCAACTCTCATATAAAAAATATATATATCTCATGGTCCACTCTGAGACACTACCTTTCCGATGCAAAAAGAATTAGCGAAAGCGGTTGACGTGGTCCAAAGTTATGCGGTAACATACATAAAAAAAAAAAAAATATAATTTAAATTAAAAAAATATTCCGACGAACTGATAACCTCCTCCTTTTTTGGAGGTCGGTTAAAAACAACATACATACATAAGAATATATTTTTCGTTAAAAAAATAAAAATTAATAAATGAAAGAAAGTTTATTTAAAGAAAAAAATTATCCAAAAAAGAGGAAATAATACTTAAAAACTAAATAAGATTAAAAATAATACATACATATGTATACAATATTCGTTAAAAAAAACAACAACTAATAAATGAAAGAAAATTAAATTAGAAGAAATGTTTCATCAAAAAAAAAGGAAATAATACTTAAAAATGAAATAAGATTAAATATAGTTTTATTAAAAATTAAATAAAAATAAAAAGAAAAAAAAAAAACAATTTAAAAAAATTTTAATAAGATCGTCAATATATTTTCTTTTTAAAACAATAAAGTCTAAAATTAAAAAAATTTAATTAACAAACGAAAAACAAACTAAATTAAGTATTTCCAAAAAGTAAATGAAATTTAAACAAATATTTTTCTTATTTACACAATAAAATCTAAAAATAAAAAAACCCAATAGAACAAATATTTAAAAATGGAAAAAGTAAATGAAAAAAGGTCCAAAAAATTAAATAAAACTTTAAAATATTATTTAAAAAAAAATAACAACCAAATCATTGAAGAAAATTAAATTAAAAAAGGAAAGAAATACAAAAAAAAAAATTTATAAACATTAAATTAAAATAAAAAAGGATACATATTTCCATACATAAAAAATCTGAAAAACTAAATTAAAAAAGAAAAAAATGTTTACTATATTAGCCATAATTGCCCTGTTAGATTATTTATTTCCAAGTGGATACTCCGCTCAACAGTGGTTTATGTTCTACTTTCACATCTACAAGAAGAAATGTAAAGTATAGCAGGGATTGACTCACTACCCCGTGGTTCACACGTTTGTAAGTACATATAACCCAAAAAAAACCACAGTAGCGGTCAAAAATGGATGAATGGTGTTTCGTTTCTAATATTTGCAATTTTCTCCAAGCTTAAGTTTTTTTTGAGGTTCGGGCTTTAACAAAAACCATATTAATCGCACTTTCAAACTTTTTACAGAATTTACAAAGAATCAGAATTTAGAAAAATGCTTAACAGAAATAAAATCAACAAATTTTTGGTAAAGGTATTAAACCATTTGGTATTTATTTATGTGTAATTGAAAATAAAAGTAATGAATAAAATTAATGTATTACCAATCTACTTGAGAACATGGACGATGACAACACCCGATGAGGTGGAAGATTTGCGGGTCAAAATCGGCCAAAATCGCTTAGTTACAGCGGCTACAGCGAGTGTTTGTGAGTAAATTTTAAAATTAAAATGCTTGAAAACGTCAAAAATTCTAAAATTGTCTCTCAGCGGTTCTACCTACCGATATTTTTATCATGGAAGAACGTTTACTATTGTCGCGCTCGAAATTTTCATAGCTGCCTATTGCGTAGTAAGGAGCGAAATGTTTTTTTTTTTACACTTTAAAAATGTAAGTTTAACAATATAGCAATGAATTGAGAGACGTCTAATATGTGACTGTTTTTGTGGATTTTTTCTTCAAATACAATAAAATCTATGCTGAAATAGGTGAAAACTACTTCATCTTGAATGAAAGTTCGCATAAAACATCTTGCATATAAAAATCATGCTATTGTATTTATTTTCATTTGCGTTAAAAAATATAAATACTTAAAGTTATTCGCTTAATTATTATATCTATCTAATCTCGATATCTTAGCCAAGTAAAATTTGTATACATATATTATAGAATTATCTGCCATCAGGCCAAACAATGCTTTCGATAAAGTCCAAAAACCCTGCCACCTTTGTGTAGACACCCGGTAACTTTGTGCCACAAACTAAGCCAAATGAAACGACGCCAACAACTCTATATTTACCCAACCATTTGTCTTTGATTAGTTGCAATGGACCGCCTGAGTCACCCCAACAAGCCTCTCGCCCCGGAGCAAAGGCACAAAGCTGCGTCTCATGCGCCATCTGATCTGTATAACTAATGTTGCATTGTGCAAGCGGTACCGTATTTAGCTTGGCTGCCAACAAGCGAGCTGAAGTTGCTATAAAACGAATAAAATATATCCAATGAAAAATCTAATTCATATAAAAATCAAATTTCATAAATGTGGCATACTCTTATTTTCGGTGACTCCCCAACCGGTCACAATCAGTTCGGTGTTATCCGGCAGATCCGTAAGATCAGTGTGCAGGCAAGTTGGGTAAACCTTGACACTATATTCAGCATCTTTAGCCAATTCAATCAAGCCAATATCAAAATAATTGAAAAAGCTTGAATAGTTCTCGTGTACATAGGTGGCCTACAATGTAAAGGGAGGGAAATAAATAAGTATGTACGTACATATGTACACTGGCGGTCACGAATAATGTACCGCCACAATTATATTTTAATTGAGGTAGCAGTTTGGTTCATGCTATAAGAATAATAGTTATAGTAATACTATGAATGAAATTTAGAAAAATTCATCAAAGTTCCATCAAAATTTCAATCTTTTTAATCAAACCGTTTAAGAAAATTTGAAAAAAATAGTGGTGGTTGCATATGTAAACCGCACATGTAACCTTTAGAAAAATTAACAACACTCACTTTAATATCCACCTCGAGTCGTGTTTGCCATTGTTCGGCATCATTAAAGTCCGTCACACCCAAAATGACTTTCAAAGCTTTACTGCCCCTCGTTTCTATGCAGTGAGCAGCAGTCAGAACGAAACGTTTGTCGATCAATGTCCCACCGCACGTCACGTCATCTACGTCATAGACAATTTTAGCCACATGTGGATACTCTGCAAAGGCTACGGGTTCGCCGCCAAGTATATGAACTACTGAATTTGGCATAAGATCCTTTTCAATCTCTCTACATGCTGCAATCAGAATTGGTTTTATAATATTGAAAAATATTTATTTGCCACTTTGAATATATGTACATACCACGATCAGCTGGCCGATCAGAGGCACGCGTTCGCGTCAAATTACTGCAATAACAGAATTAATTTGGTTATTTAACTGTATTGAAATATGTAGTGTAGAACAAACCTCGCTGCTGGTCTTCGGCCTCCGGCCCCAAATCCTGCCTCTTTGATCAGATCTCTTAATCTCTGTGTCCGTTCGTCTGCTGTTAGTGCGGCTAACATATCTCGAATTGTTTTCGATGAAATGGTGACGAATTCCGGCGGCTTCACTGTAGTTGTACTAGTAGCTAGACTGTTTCTGTGCCGAAAAATATTTATTTGTAAAAGAAAAATTCGGCATTAGGTATGCGCCTAGTACATTAGGGTGGCTCAATTTTTTGTTTTTCTGCCAGCCCCCAGAACTGTGTTTTTTTAATGGGCTAATATTCAACCGCGTCGCAGGCGCTTCTAACTTCCATATATTTTATATGGGGAAAAACGATTTTTTTCGTAGAATTGCCTTACAATCGTTAAAAATAAATAATTTTTCATTAAATAAAAAATTTCCCTTCAGAGATCTTCAAAAACGGAAAAATTTAAAGTTTTACTAACTACTTTTTCATAACGGATAATTTCTTTTTTTTTACAAAAATTATTTATTTTACTTGTTTGTCACCAAATCATGCATGTTTTGAAAAAATATTTAGTAAATTTCTATTATAATTTTGGCAGATTTATGAGAGGAAAAATATTAATATCTAATCTAAAAATAACGGTTGTATAGCAAGTTTACGGAAAAAAATCATTTTTCCCACATATAGTGCTCATCATAGCTATGCGACACTCAAATATTGACAAAATTTGACTATTTGTTTTGTAAATTTTTGGTTTTAATTCTTTTTTTTAACAAAAACAATCTAAAACCAAATTTTAATTTTACTATAACAAAGCGCACTTTCGAAGTAGCTGGGACCCTCTGTTGAATTTTTGAAATTTTTTGTGTTGACGATGTCAGTCATTTTCTTCTATACGAAGTATGTTCGCCGATTTTTTATACGGAGAAAAAGGACAACACCTTCAGTCATGCACTCTATTGTGCAATACGTTTATAATAAGTTAATTAAAATTAAGGAGTTTTAAAATAAATATGTAGTCAAATCATGACAATATGTGAGTGTCGTAACGGTTTCTTATTAATTTCCTTTTTTATACTTCTCTGGGAGCGGCAGCAAAAAATACCAAAAAGTTGATTTTCCGGCGCATTTTTGGGCCTTCCTTAACTGCAATACATATGTATACTTACGGACAACAAATAATCCCTGCACCTATATTGTGCCCACAATGACCCACGTACTTGCTGGTAAGTTGCATTGCGTCCATAGTGGATTGCAAGTGCGGACAATTTGCAACTACTGCGCATATGCCTTCATAATTATCCGTTTGGCAGGAATCGTTTTCTGGAATGCAAATAAAATTTTTAAAAGCTTCAAAACATTTGTCCTCGGTTTTTTTTATCACTTATCACAGGTTCTGTAGCAGCGGTTTGGATTTAGGTTAGCTCATGACGATCTTTCGGGAAGCGAAGTTTGTCATAGAGGTCATTTAAGAGCAATTGATTTTCATACACTTTTCTTTTAAAAACATACAATCAGTTCTTCTAAAAAAGCCTACAATTTTAAAATCACATTCACTTAAATATTTACCTTCCGATTGTGTTCTTCCTTGCAGGGTATAGGTGGTGAATAACAGCAAAAACAAAAAGGTATCGCGACAATTTTTCATAGACATTTTTAATGATTACAAACTTTGGTAACTAATTTCCGTTCAAGCTTTTCTCTGAGACTTTTTATAACTTCATGTGGCTATTACTAATTTTCAACTAAACATTCGATCGATGTTTTATATAAAATTCTGAAGCATGAAAGTGTTATGCTAAACAGTTGATGACTATTTTAAATTCATTTAATTTTTAAGAATTGTTGTCGCACATGCTTTTTCCATTCCTAAGAATTCAAAAAGCGTCACTTTGTTATACATAATATATGTAACCCTTGAGGTCAGCTGATTTAGTTAAGTGATATTTTGACCAGTTTTGACTATTTTTCTTTTGATTATTTAATGTTTAATATATTTTTATAAAAGTGTAGCATATTGATAGCCAGCGCCATATAAATCATTATATATTTCAAAAATTGTAAAAAAAAATATAAAAATTCAACGAGCTTTACCAATTACACCCAAATATTGCAAACTTTCGATTCAGAAATTTTCGAACATACTTTAGGTATATGGAAGAAAATGCACAACTTGTCAGCTAAAAAAATTTTGAAAATCAACATCTAAAATTTTTCTACTTTAAAATTGGCAAAGGTAAAAATAGTAAAAGTACAAAAAAGGTAAACTGAAGCAGAAAATGATAAACATAACGGTAAAAATAAACAAAAAAGTTTACTTTGCGATCTCTGAATATTACAGGGGATGATGAAATCTATTAGAATTTAAATTAATTTTTCTTTGATTTTTTTTTTTAATACAATTTACTTATTTGTCAATTTTTAAAAAACAAACATTTAGTTTTATGCGTTCTTAGAAAAATAATTTCCTCAACTATGAACACATCTATGCATTGTAGTACAAAGATTGCTTATCATTAAAAAATTCAATGAAATGCATAGCAGACAATGCATTTAGTTGTGAAAGCTATGAGCGGCAGTAAAGATGTAAACGCAAGCTTTACTTACATACGTGATTGAACTACATACATACATAGAGTGCACATATCGCGCACGATCTTCAAAAGTGACGCAACTCAAAATTTGAAATTTTTAAAATTATGCACTAAAAATGTACACAGAGCTTTTATTTACGTTTCAGCAAAAGCTGGAGCAAATTTTTGTTATGAATTATTGAAAAAATCTAAGGCAAAGTCTTGCTTGCCCATATGATTAGCTTGTGCTAAGAAATAGTTTTTCGTGTAATTTTGAGTTGTGTCTCTTTTGAAGACGGTGTGCTATATATTAAGTATAACAGAGTAATGCTTTTTGAATTCTTAGGAATGAAAAAGCATGTGCGACAACAATTCTTAAAAATTAAACCAACTGAAGCTTGGGAATTTTATATGAAAATTGAATCGAGTTTAGTTGAAAATTAGTAAGAGACACGTGAAGTTGCAAAGCGTCTCAGAGTTTGTAATCATTAAAAATGTCTATAAGATATTGTCGCAATAACTTTTTGTTGTTGCTGTTATTCGCCTATATCCAACAAGGAAGAACACAATCGGAAGGTGAATATATTTAAGTGAATGTGACATTAAAATTTTAGGTTTTTTTAGAAGAACCGTAAGTATATTTTTAGAAGACAATATACAAAGTATGTACGTTTGAAGAAACGTCATGCTGACTTAATAAAATTCGTCTAGCATTTGAGATCGTGTGAAATAGTGCATGTTTGTATGCATATATAGTAGATTTATGTACAATCTATAGTGCACTAGGTCAGAGGCGAATCCAGAGTGAAATTTGGGGTGCCTAAAAGAAGCGCATACGAAGTGTAAATGCGCTAGTCCCTATATAGGACCAAGGTGAGACATGAGAAGATAACAAAAGCTCCACACGTTAAGAAAAACGCCAATATCACTATTTACTGGGCTACTTCCAACACTCTAAAAAATCTGTTTAAAAATTCGACTATAAATCGAGTATATTTTTGTTTATTTTTAAAATTTTTTGGTAAATTTACCCGATGAATATGCATTTTTCTCGTTTACACATTTTCGTGTGTAAAAATCATTTCTGTTAGTGGCTTTACACAATTCTAAGGGTGAAATCAAACAGCAGATGTGTATTTTGTAGCTTGTACAGACTTTCGTAGTAAATTTACGCACACCACAGCAGCTATATTACACTCTAAAAAGTCCGAAATTTAAACAAACTATTCGTTGAATAATCGAGCATGTAATTTCGCGAATAATAAGGTAGGAAATCAGTAACCTACCTTTTAGGTAGGAAATCTACACAATTTTTTTTAGAGTGAAGCCCTATAGAGCGACGCGTATTTAGAATGGCGATCCTCCCTTGCAATACAGCTAACCTAAATCCAAAAAGTTCCCGAAGAACCTGCGATAAGTGATCAAATAACCGAGAACAAATATTTTAAAAGTTTTTAAAATTTGAAAAAATTGTATATAACAGTTTTATTTGCATTCCAGAAAACGATTCCTGCCAAACGGATAATTATGAAGGCATATGCGCAGTAGTTGCAAATTGTCCGCACTTGCAACCCACTATGGACGCAATGCAACTTACCAGCAAGGATGTGGGTCACTGTGGATACAATATACGTGAAGAGATTATTTGTTGTCCGTAAGTATACATATGTAAATGCAGGTTAGGAAGGCCCATAAATACGCCGGAAAATCCACTTTTTGGAATTTTTTGCTGCCACCCCCAAGAAGTATAAAAATGGCAAATAAGGACAACCGTTTTTTTTTTGGAATCGGTTAAGAAATCGCGATGACGAAGCTTTGAACTTTTCCATACATTCTACTATAGGGAAAAATAATTTNGTTTTTTTTTTTGGAATCGGTTAAGAAATCGCGATGACGAAGCTTTGAACTTTTCCATACATTCTACTATAGGGAAAAATAATTGTTTCCTAACATTGCTATAAAATCATTTAAAGTAAATATTTTGTTATTAAATAAAAATATTTCCTTACAGAAATCTGCCAATAACAGAACTATGATGCAAATTTAACTCTAAAATTTGACTAACCATTTTTTCAAACGTTCGAGTTATGGTTACGAACACAAAAAAAAAAGTTGAGATTATCCTTGAAAGTGGTTAGTAAAATTTTAAAGGAAATATTTTACCCAATCAAAAGTATTTATTTTTATCGATTTTATGGCAATTCTACGAAAAAACTAATTTTCGGCATATAAAACCGATGAAAGAGCTCATAGCGACGGCACGGTTAAAATTTAATCCAGTCGGAAATAAATACGGATCTCCTTATTTTTCATATTCTTCAGTTCTGGGGGCTTGCAGAAAAAAAAAATTGGGCCACCTTAATGAAGGTGCATACCAAACGCGGAACTTTTCTTTTACAAACACAAAAATATTTTGGGCGCAGGAACAGTGTAGCTGCTAGAACAACTACAGTGAAGCCACCGGAATTCACCACTATGTCATCGAAAACAATTCGAGATATGTTAGCCGCACTACCAGCAAACGAACGGGCACAAAGATTAAGAGATCTGATCAAAGAGGCAGGAATTGGGGCCGGAGGCCGAAGACCAGCAGCGAGGTTTGTTCTACACTACATATTTCAATACAGTTAAATAACCAAATGATTTCTGTTATTGCAGTAATTTGACGCGAACGCGTGCCTCTGATCGGCCAGCTGATCGTGGTAGGTATATTCAAAGTGGCAAATAAATATTTTTTNAGCGAGGTTTGTTCTACACTACATATTTCAATACAGTTAAATAACCAAATGATNTATAAATTATTTTTTTTAATTTACAAAATTCTACCTCAATTAAAAAAATAGTGGAGATAAGTTATTCGTGACCGCCCATTTATATACATACTTATTTCCCTCCCTTTACATACATTGTAGGCCACCTACNGTAGGTATATTCAAAGTGGCAAATAAATATTTTTTAGTAATTTGTTTTTGTTATTTTTTTGGCCTTATAACAATTATATTCAACAATTTATATTGAGCTCGCGGCCATTTTTTAAATGAAAATTTATTGTGGAAAAGCAACGCTATCACTTCTACCATTTTTTAGTAATTATAAAACCAATTCTCATTGCAGCCTGTAGAGAGATTGAAAAGGATCTTATGCCAAATTCAGTAGTTCATATACTTGGCGGCGAACCCGTAGCCTTTGCAGAGTATCCACATGTGGCTAAAATTGTCTATGACACAGATGACGTGACGTGCGGTGGTACATTGATCGACAAACGTTTCGTTCTGACTGCAGCTCACTGCATAGAAACGAGGGGTAGTAGAGCTTTGAAAGTCATTTTGGGTGTGACGGACTTCAATGATGTCGAACAATGGCAAACGCGACTCGAGATAGATATTAAGGTGAGTGTTGTAAATATTTCTAAAGCGTGCATATGCAGTTTAGATATGCAACCACCACTATTTCTTTTTTTTAAGAAGTAGAAGTTTGTAAGTTAATAAAAAATCATTTTTTTATGTAGTTCATACTTAACTGAAAATATATAAATCAATATTTCAAACTTTGCTTAAAATTTTAAAAAGACATCAAAAATTATAAACTTAAAAAAAATTTAAAAATTCATCAAATTTCAACAAAACTTTAAAGTTTTTAATTAAAATGTTTAAGAAATTTTCGAGTATTCAGTATTATAGTCCGTTTAATTTTAGTATAATAAAGTGCAAGTTTGATGTAGCTCAAAATTTTGGTTGATGTTTTACAATTTTTTTTTTTTGTCGAAGGACCGCACAAGACCGTCGCAAAAAAAAATCGAAAACCCCAACAAGAATTCTAGCTTGCCCATTATTACTCTAAATTTGAATCGGCTATAAAACTGTCATACGAAGCTTTCTTAAAATTGTTTGTTAAAGTGTTTGAAATTTTGATGAAAATTGGATAAATTTTTCAAAACTTTGTAAACACTATTTATTATTACTATTCCTACTATAATATAAACTACAACTAGTGTATATAAATTATTTTTTTTAATTTACAAAATTCTACCTCAATTAAAAAAATAGTGGTGATAAGTTATTCGTGACAGCCCATTTATATACATACTTATTTCCCTCCCTTTACATTGCAGGCCACCTACGTACACGAGAACTATTCAAGCTTTTTCAATTATTTTGATATTGGCTTAATTGAATTGGCTAAAGATGCTGAATATAGTGTCAAGGTTTACCCAACTTGCCTGCACACTGATCTTACGGATTTGCCGGATAACACCGAACTGATTGTGACCGGTTGGGGAGTCACCGAAAATAAGAGTATGCCACATTTATGAAATTTGATTTTTATATGAATTAGATTTTTCATTGGATATATTTTATTCGTTTTATAGCAACTTCAGCTCGCTTGTTGGCAGCCAAGCTGAATGCGGTGACGCTTGCACAATGCAACATTAGCTATGCCGATCAGATGGATCGTCATTTACTTCATGGCATTGACGAGACACAGCTTTGTGCTTTTGCTCCGGGGCGAGACGCTTGTTGGGGTGACTCAGGCGGTCCATTGCATCTAGTCAAAGATAAATCGTTTGGCAATTATAGAGTTGTTGGTGTAGTTTCGTTTGGTTTACTTTGTGGTACAAAGTTACCCGGGGTCTATACTAGGGTGGAAGAATTTTTGGACTTTATCGAAAGCATTGTTTGGCCTGATGGCTGATGACTTTATAAAATACGATGAGATATGTATACATATATGTATGTACAAAAATTTTATTTGGCTAACTTATACAATTTTATAAGTTATTTCCATTACGATATCTAGATTAAGTAAATATTTATATTTTTGAAAGCAAATGAAGATAAATACGACGATAAATAATGTGGACTTTCATTCCAAATGAAGTAGTAGTTTACCTAATTCAGCAAAGATGTTATTTTTCTTGAAGAATAAACACAGTCTCATAGTAGACATTTCTATTATTCAGCTTTGTTTATTTGTACTTGAGAAAAGTCAATGCCGCCAGGAATGCGCAATTTGATATTCTATAATTCTTGGGTGCTACCGTCAACGCTACTGCAACTTTGGTCTGGTGGAGTGATCTACAAGTAAGAAAGCTAAATTGATTTGAAGTGCAATAAATTTGTGGTTTGTGAACACACCTGACCACGTTCAAAATTTATTGGGCTGCAAAACTGTATACTCAAAAAAATTCTAAAAAATTTGATTAAAAAATTCCAAGTTTGCATGAAAATGTATTGAATAAAAAATTTGTGAGTGGCCACACTGCTCGCCACCCGCTGGTGGTAGCAGAGGAAGAGGGAGGCCGCCACTGCGATAGAAAGACCAAGTAGAGGAGTACTTGGCTTCATTTGACGTTTCCAATCGGCTTGAGTTAGCTCAGAAGAGGAGCGACTGGCGTAAAAGAAGAAAGAAGGGTAAAAGAAGAAAATTTTCAGAATCCCACTGTAACTTTCGTTTCAACGGTTAACACTTTTCATTCAATTCGAGCTCTTTATAAATGGCCGATATAACAACCCCGAGAGTTATTTATGCTGTAGCACAGTGTTTTTTAATTCAATCTTACTCCTCTGTTTCAAGTAGTCAAAAATATCAATCGATCAAGAGACAGATCGGTTGTCTCAGTCTTCGCGCTGCATCGGAGCGAGAGAGCCGTAATTTTTTCTAGCAAAGTAATTTCGTTAATTCAAACGCGGCTAACTCTTCGAAAATTGCGAACATTTTTGTACAAAAAATTTTGCTTTAACAATTGCAAACATAAGTGCACTTTCAATATACAGATAAATTAATTTTTATAAAAATCCAATTGAAAATAAAAGCAGCCGTAGTTGGCGTAGGTAAAAACGCTTCAATCTGCGTTCGCAACTCAAATAAAGCTAAATAAATACATACAGACGATCAGTGATCTAAGCTATGTATACATATATGGACATAAACAATTAAGCTGACTTTGCATTCTAAGCGACGCTCCAAAGCGGACGCAAGCAATTAACAAAGTGCCAAGTGAGCAACAAATGGTGTAAGATAGATTATACTCGTATGTGCATATATGTCAATAGACATTTCCGACAGCTATTATTTAAGCTGAGAGTGCGCCGAACAGCGTCTTTTAATTTGCGAATTCGTTCGCTGTAGGAGCTGAGCACAAGCAAAAATAGTGTTATTATTTTAATTTGCCGCGGTGATAAGATACGATTTTCTTTGCACTGCAGATTTGTTTAGTAAGCTTACGCTCTGCCCTTCCACGGTGCTCAGAAATAATAATGTTTATAACTTCCCTTGCATTGAGAAGCGAAGTGAAATTTTGGATTCACGTGCTTGTATTAATAACTGCATTTTTTCGCATTTCGAATGCAATACCGGTACCAGCCTCAAGAGGAACGGGCGCAAATGGTAAGTAAAGTAAGGGGGAAAAAAATACACATAAAGTTGCATCACATTCAAAAAGAAAAAAATAGGCACTACTAAATTAAAATTAACTCACTTAATGCAATAAAAGATTATTTTCCTTAACTAGCTGTGTTATAATTTTACGCTGCCTGAATTTTACGAGAAGCTTTTTGATGGAAGAAATACTCTTGGAGGTTTGCGATTGCCTGCCGAGGGGCGACCGCTGTTATAAAAAAAAATAACTTTTTCTAATTTCAAATATTTCCCGGACCAGGGATCCAACCAAGTCCCTTTGGAGTAGTAGTACGCACCTCTAACCACTCAGCCATAGCGTCTGAAGTGAAAATGAGCTTTAGCTATCAATAAAAAAATGTAGTTTATGTATGTATTTCTGCAAACTCCCATTACATGGGTGGTAGGCAAGATTATTGCCCGATTTTACCCATTTAATACCCTCCGTCCTTAGCTTAAATGCACGTCCCAAGTTTTGTTAAGATATCTCATCGAACAGACAAACATCACTAAATCGATTTCTATTTTCATTCTGAGTATTTCGGTGTATATATGCCCCTATCTATCTCGATTCCTTTAGTCTGTCACAAACAACTCTAAAAAAAAGAAAACTAAATTTTGGCGGGTGCTAAATTTTTGGCCGTGCTTCTAATTTTGTAGTATCTTCCTGTGCTCACACACACGGAGAGAATTAAACCGTCGACTGATAGCTTGCTCAACCTTTCGGGAATTAGGTACCGTAGGGTCCGAAGGACGTATATGAACCATACTTTCACTCGAAGACATTGTTGTCCATTGTCAGAGCCTTTTACAATACAAAGAGAAGAGAAAGGATCAAGGCATTCACCTGATGCATCATTTGCTTTCGACATTGATAATGAGGTGATCCAAGAATACCACCTCCGTTGTCCCTGTTAAACCGGTGCAACCGGTCCTCAATTGCATCCCCCATTGCATTTTTTGATGCTTTTTAGGGTCCTATCACAAATAGTTTTTAATAGAAAATGGTTAAATAAAAAATTTTTCACATGCATTTTTGAACCAGCCTAATTACTATAGTTCGAATTAATGTTATTCACCTACGCCTTGGTAAAAGTTGTCTATGGGCGCAGCACGTTCATGTAAATGGTCACCTTTTTCGCAGAAATCCCAGTCAACTATTTATTTTCTTTATTGGACGGAGAATTATGGGAAACCAACCATGCGAGACAGCATTTTTTAGGGTGTATAGAATTAATTATAAAAGAACTGAAAGATAATTATGCAAATTAAGTCAACGAAAGACTTAAGACACAAACTTTTCTTGCATGGAAAAATTTTTCCATAAATGGACTGTTCACCCCAATGATAAGCGATCAGGAAATTGAAATGATTCAGTTTTCCGCTGGCTTATAATTAACACTGAAACGATTTTTAATCCCAACCCACAGACACCACTCTCATTCATAACGATAAGTTCTCAAAACTTTTTTCTTGTTTTATTCTCTACCAGAACGTTTCCCAGACTTTTGTTCTTATTTGATCCCCCTTGAAAAGGTTTCTTTCCGGAAATGTTCCCCAACCTTTTTTCTCTCATTTTGTTCCCGTTCAAACTGCTCTCAATACTTTGGTTTCCGTTTCGCTCTTTTGTGGGAACGTTCTTGATAATACATTTTGTTCTCGCGCAGAACTAAACCAAAACTGGGCAGGCGTTCGCGGTCCCTGGAAAAAAAATTCAATAAATTATCTATTAAAAAAAAAGTTAAAATAAGAACAAATGTGAATTTTTCACTGATTTTTATTTGTTTTACTTTTGATCTAAAAAAATATTTTGTACTTATTTTGCTTTGCTTTTTTCTAAATAAAAGCTATATTTACTTTAAATAGTTTTATTGTAACTTTTGGTCACCGTATGAAAACTAAATAAAATAACACCGTTTATCCGGCTTTTTTCTTGATTTCAAAATCGTGAAGCAGTTTTTTTCAAATTGCAATTTTTTGAATAACTCGAAAATCGGTTTTAGAAAAAAGTCGAATAATCGAACACACTAATAAGTACATGTTTTATTAATATGCTTAGTAATACTATATACTTATAGTTTGTTTATTAACTTACAGAAGGCGACGCTTGTGTAGTGAAAGAGGGTGTCATTGGAAAATGTGCTCTACCCCGAAATTGTCCAGATCTCACAATGCAAATGCAAATTCACGGACTCTCAAGAAAAGATGTAGTCCGATGTGGTTTCACAACATATGATGAAATAATTTGCTGTCCCTTGAAAACGTCTACAAATGTGCTGGGAATTTTCAACACTACCGACAATTTCTTAAATGATAATAGGAATTCGAATGGCGGTAATAATACGCGAGGCGATTTTGGTGGACAGGAGCGAAAAGCACTAAAAGGCAGGCGCATTTTAATTTAACATATTCACTATTTTATCTGACATTTCATTAGTATATCTCTTCTGTTTTTAGCTTGTCGCTTACTCGAGCAATATTTAGAGCCCTACACCGTGCCACTCGTCCTGGGCGGCGTACCGGTATCGCCGGGCGAATATCCGCACATGGCTGCAATCGGCTATGCGTCGATCAATGCAGGTGGACCGCCCTATGAAATACGTTGTGGTGGTACGCTTATAGCTAAACGCTTTGTATTGACAGCAGCACATTGTGTTAATCGTCGTGATAGCGTACCGGTTATCGTACGTTTGGGTGTTACCGATTTTAACGATGCCGATCAAATGAAAAATGCTGTAGATGTACCCATTGAGGTAGGAATTGTGTAGGAAATATTTCTAAAGGGCAGAGATTATTCTTAAGTCTAATAACTCTAAACAGCTCGTGCATATTCATAAGGATTACGATAGTCTGCAGAAGTACGATGACATTGCCATAATCGAGCTAAAAAACGAGATCGAATACTCATCTTTAGTCTTTCCGGCTTGTCTGCATACAGAGGTGGCTGATCCGCCAGCAAGCGCAGCACTCAATGTTACCGGCTGGGGCACCACTAACTTGAAAAGTAGTCATGCATTAAAGAAATTACTTTCCTTTTGCTAATACCTAATAATTTAATTGTATTTTCATTGTCATACATACTATGTAGCTCGCGCGAAATCCGATGTCTTGCTGACGGCGCGCGTCAAAATTTCGTCAGTCGCAGATTGTAACGCGTCCTATGCGCGCGAAGGCCTCTTACCAAGTCGCGGCATATTGGATTCACAAATGTGCACACACGATCCGAATTCGATCAGCGACGCCTGTTGGGGTGACTCCGGCGGTCCGCTTAATCTCATCCTTGACGAAAAATATCGGCGAGTACATGTCATCGGTATTGTGTCGGCTGGTAGTGGCTGCGCCAGCGTCACTCCAAGTCTTTATACGCGTGTTGCTGCGTATTTGGATTTTATTGAGGGTATCGTGTGGAAGGATTTATGAACAGTTTGTGTAGTTTTGTTAAATGCATTTACATTTTCTTACATTACTTTTTACTCATTATCCTAACTAAATATGTAAGTATGTTTTAGACATCTGTTGTCTGTTGTTTTAAGATGAAATAAATAAGAATTGTTAAATACCAATTTTTAGCACAATTTTCCCTTGTTATGTATTTATGCATTTTTAGTATCAGACAGAAGTATAGGAACATTAATAAAGCCACTTGGCTGTCCTCAAAGAACCAAGCACCAAATTGATCACGTTGTGAAAGACGGAAATTACTACCTTGTTGCAGCTACATATATACCCGGTGCAGGTATCAAATATCGTCGTTTCAACTTTCTCTAAACTACATTTGCATGATAAGCAGGGGGGTGTTCCCGATTTCCGAGAGTTAATGAAATAATTGAACCAAGTTTGGCAGAAATCTACCGAGATACACCTTTTAGTCATAAGTGGGCGGTGCCACGCCCGATACCTATAAGTCCATAGCAGTCTTATTTATTGTTAAGCGTCCTCAGTTATTGAAATATCGGAATTTTCGGATGTCTAAAATTTACCGTTATACGGGAAGTGGGTGTAATTTTAGTCCGATTTGAATAATTTTCAACAAATTGCTTTCCGTACCAAGGTGCACCGAGTTTGGTTGAAATTGATAAATCGGTTACCGAGATACACATTTGTGGTCATTGTCCAAAAATTTATAATATTCAAATTTTCTGCTAAGTAGTTATTGCAATCATCGATTTTAAGTGAATTAGCCCCAGTAGTTACCAATTTATCGCAGTTTTCGTGTTTCTGTAAATTACCGTTATTTTCAACAGATTTCTTAGTTAGACCCTAACCAAGGCTCGTACCGAGTTTGGGAAGCATTGGTGAAGCGGCTACTGAGATACAGCATTTCATCATATTTTTTGCCAAAATTCGACTTCACATACTACTTAATTTTCAACAATTTGGATCCAATATTTACTGAAATATCGTAGTTTTTGCATTTTTCGAAAATACCATTATATAGGGGGGTGGGCGTGGTTACAGTCCGACTTCGCACATTTTCAATACCAACCTACCTTGGGTAAAGGGAAACCTACATACCGAATTTCGTTGAGATATCTCAATTTTTGCTCGAGTTATCGTGCACATGGACGGACGGACAGACGGACATGGCTTAATCGACTTCTCTATTCATTCTGAGCATTTGTGTATACATTTGTCTATATATATTAGAGCTCTAGATACCCGGGTATCGAGCAATGCGAGTAGCTCGATACTCGCTCGAAACTCGTTCATTGCTCAACTGCTCAAATGTTTGTTCAAAATTTTCGAGTTTTTGAACAATTTCATAAACAAAAGAAAATTTGTAAATTGTATTTGTCAGCAGCTGCTTTCTAATTCACGTTAAATAAATTATATTATTAAATACCAATGTAACAATCTTTGCATTATATATCAATAATTTGAAAAATTTAAAAAGTTGCTACCATGATACAAAAAACAAGGTAGTTCCATTGTCACTTTTTCGTCGCCATATTAACAACCTGACAATTAAGCAGATTGTGACATTTCGTGCTACCATACCCAATATCTAAAATCCTTCAAATTTTCTTATTAATGTTTTGTCGATTTAAAAATATTTTGTTCTTAAGCATAGCATAATAAGAAATAAACAAGAAATAAGTGTGAAATTCCACAACATTTCCTTGAAACATTTTTGCAACATGAAGCTAGCAGCACAATTGTATATTTTAAATTGTGTGAAAGCTGACAGTTTGTAGAATTCAGTAGCGACGAAAAAGTGGTTAAACCTTACCCAAGCCGAGCATAAAACTTGCGACGCAATTTCGGCTTATGTCTGTGGGTCTTGGCAAGAATGTAATCCCCGAAGGTTTAGCTTAAAATGGTTTTCGGGATACACCCTGTGATCATGTTACTTTCCAGAAGGTGTGGCGCCCGTTTTTCTGTACATATTTTCGTTGGGAAAATACCTTATCACAGTATTCTAGGTAAATGCTTCCAGAGGTATCCATGCGTCACCAGAATTTTAGTTTATTTGGCTTATACCGCTAGCTCTTTTCAACGGCTACGAGATTGTTTTCATATACCCCCATTTTTCATAGGTTTGGGATTGATTTCATTTGCCTCTATTCCTAGTTCTACGGTGGCACGCCGCATTTTCCAATAAACTCATATTTTTCCATGAGCTTGAGATTGACTTCATATACATATATCCATACAAAGTTCCAGGACTCTACCACAAATACTTCCAGAGATATGCACTATGAAAAATTCGATTTGTATGGGAGGTTCTACACGCCCTTTAGATATCGGTTTTGTTTTAGCCTATAACCATTATTCGAAAACTTGTGTTCGAAATTTCAAAAAAAAAAGCCGGTATGGGCATTATGACTCCTCAAGCGAAATGAACTAATGATTGCAAAAAATGAAATCAAACATCGTAGTTGACCAAAAAAGAATATTAGACTTCATTCTCTCAACTTCTCAGAATGTAGAAAAGCTAAGAAATATATAATAAGATAGGATATATTAAAACAGCCTCCAAAACATTTACTAAAGACACCCCTGGACTACGCAAATCAGCTTTATTGAAAATTTGTTTTTATCTATTTATTTTATCCTTCAATTTTGGGTGTGTCAAAATTTCATGTGAAAACAATATGTGTTGCTAGAAAAATTTTACGGCCCATGGGTTCCAAAGTAAATTCCATTGCTGTTAAATGGACAAAGACAATATGTATTAAATAACACATCGAAATGTGTAATTTCAGTAATTTGTGTAAATGTGTAATTTCAGAATTACATCAGAATCACGTATCCGATATAGAAAACTACATTGTGAAATAATGAGATGACATGAGGACACTAACATCATTTTAAAATATGTTCACTAAAATTGTATTAATATTAAAATAATGATGTGGCAAGTTGTTATCGAATTTAATGTAAAATTTAAACGTTTTCAAGATAAGATATTGATTGTTTTTAAAAGGTATATATTAATACAACTATTTTCTTTATAATCCCAAATTTAGGATATAAAATGTCCCACACCAAAAAACTTACAATTGGGTAATGCCGCTTCGAATTTTTCACAATTGAGCAATTGTCAAAAATCTGCTTTTTAATCAAAAAGTTGTTTATTGAAACTACCTTCTTTTTTGTATCATGGTTGCTACCAAAAATGTCAATATAATAAAAAAAAACATTGCTCAAATTACTAGAAAAAACTCGAATTGCTCGAGCTCATGCTCGAAAATTTTCGAGTAATGAGCATTGAACAAGTGTGCGAGTACTCGCTGCTCATATACCCGGGCTGTTTGAAAATGTGCGAACAAAATCGAGAGCTCTAATATATATCTCTATTCGTTTTGGCTGTTACAAACTACCGTTAGTGAACAAAGTTAACATAGCCTTGTGCACAAGTGCGCTCGGATATAAATATGTCACTTAGACCCTTTTTTCAATTACATACATATAACGACAATCTTAAGAAGGATGTTATCAAGTAAAAAATACGTAGGACCCCAGCAAAAACTTTTCTGTTAAAAAAAAAAAAAAAAAAAAAATTGTCTTGCGGCGAATTGTAATGCGTTACTCCATCGATACAAATATTAAGCGCTTACCAAAGAATCAAAGTTTTTGCTGGGATGTTCTCACTTTTAATGGGAAATGGAAAAATGTACATAATTTTACAATCATTTTAATTTACAGAAGAAACATTTATTTTAAGTACATACGTAGTATTTCTTTCTCAAATGTAATTAATAAAAAAAATGCATTAAAGTACTTATACTGCAAATTTCTTCAAACAGGTACTTGAGATTTCATTGTGAATTCATTCTTTAACCTGATCCATAGTATTGTGCATTGTATGAGAATCCTTCCGTCTGCGTTGCTTCCAAAACAATAGAGATAAAGCGTTGACCAATGCCACCAGCCACTACATAAGCATTGCCTTCATTATTATCCTGGTTGCAAACGATTTCCACATAAGTAACGATGCTGCCAGCGCCCGATTGAGGGTAGGTCAGTTGAATGGTTACATCCTTCGCGACCTGATAAGTGAAAACATCGGCTGCCTGTGCAACCAAACGATCACCTGAAATGTAGGGAAAGAAAAATTTGGATAACACGACTGAAAATTTCTGAAGACGATGATTTTTGATACAGTGCTTATCATAACTATACGGCACCCACAAATGAATTGAAGTTTTAACTACACTGCTGGAACAAAGTATTGTCACAGCAAATTTTTCACAATATATGCAACAATTTTTATTCAAATATTTTTACGCCAATTTTTTATAAAAATAAGGTTCATTCAACAACAAAAAAACATAAAAATAAAATACCTAAACTTTGTGCAAAACTCGCGAAAATTCAGTAAATTTTCATCAAAATTTTCAACTTTTTAATCAGGTTTTTTTAAATTTTTTTGAGTATGCAGTTTAGCAGCCCATTAAATTCTAGTAAAAAAATGCAGGTTCGGAGCTAGTCGAAAATCGCGTTGATTTTTGAGAATTTTTTTTTGTCGAAGGTGTTTTGCATTTTTTCCATATAAAGTATTTTCGAAAAACATTTTTTGTATGGAAGAGAGCTACTTAAAACTTTGCATAATAAAATTGAATGGGCTACAAATCTGCATATTCATAAAAATTCAAAAAAATCTGATCAAAAACTTGAAAATTTTCATGAAAATTTGCTGAATTTTCGCGAGTTTTACACAAAGTTTAGGAATTATATTTTTATATTTTTCGTTGTAGAATGAACTATATTTTTATACGAAATCAGCGGAAAAATATTAGAATGAAAATTGTTGCATATATTGTGAAAAATTTGCTGTGCCAATACTTTGTTCCAGCAGTGTAATGGTTTATTATTAATAAATTTTCATTGTTTTTTTTTTATAAAAATATAGCTCTTTCTATAGTTATGACAAGCACCTTCGTTTAATTATTATTTTTTAATTATAGATATGGAAGTATGTTTGTACCATAGAAATTGCCCACAAAGTTCCAAAAGTTTTGGGTTAATTTTCTTTATTGGATAATTGTTTTATCAACGATAATATTTCAGCTTCAACCCTTGCATAATTATTTTTTTAAATAAATATGAACCAATCAATATTTGCAAAAAAAAAGAACTCATTCGCTTTATTTAGTAAAAAGCCTCTTTTATTCTACGTTAAATTATTTCCATAAAATTGATTTTTAAATCATTACACTTCATTGAACTTAAAAAAAAAAATATGAAAATGTGTTTTTGGTTCTTCGATATGGATTCCTTGAAGCAAGAGCAGCAAACCAAGTTTTTAAATTTTATTAAAAAGTTCATTCCGTACTATTTCCAGGTCAAATGAGATAAAAATTAAAACTTTATATTCTTTAATGTCATTTTAAAGCTCAAGTTAATTTTTTTAATCCAACAAGAATTTTTTTGCTGACCTGCCCATCTCAAAATCTTTAAAATACCGTTACATTTATTTCGCTATTTATTCTTCTTGTTCTCGATATATTTATGTATTAGATTTTGTCACAAAGAAAGTTAGTTTTCCACACTGTGAACCATATGAGTACATAGTGGATTCAGAGTAGCGATGGCCACGAGATATTTAGTCCAGAGAGACCCACGGTACTGATTCTAAAAAGGCGAGGATGTGCGGTAACTGGTACTTGCTTAAAGGTTTGTCTGAAAAACGTCGGTTCGGGCGGGTTCGGGACCAAAAACTTGAATGTCGGAATGGGCGTGCTCAATTTTTAATAGTTTGTTCCGCAACCACCTCTTATTCAGAGCTTTGAAGTAGCGAATTGGACGAGCTGTAGAAATCTTTTTGCAGGAAGGCTTTCACACACCGCCCTTATATGTAGATATACCAGCGGTTATTGGAGCTAAAAGAGGATTTATCTTCTAATTGACTGGGTATCAGTATAGTAACCATTCCAATCATCAGACCAAATTGCGCTTAAAGGCTGGTTTTAACGTGTAGGCTGTCGTCTGTGAACGTCTTTTTAGCCTTAGCTTACCACGCACATTGGCCGCTTTATATGATTTAGGCTGCCAAAAGTCAATTTTTCAGAGTTAACTTACAACAAAACAAATGTATTGTCTGATAAGCAAGAATCCCGACAAACAATGCCCACCACTTCCCGGGTCCTAGCACTGCGCGCGCGGACCACACTGTACACTTTTTCGTTATCGGAGCTTAGAGCGAAACAAACCAAATGTCTTGCTCGAGTGGAGGGACATCAGCATCGTCCCTAAACATAGTCCTGCATTCTCCTTCATTTTACGTGCTCTGTATGCACATCGAAGAGCAGTATCATTTTTAGTGAATCAGCTTTAAAACCAAAGGCATGTAATTTTTGAACTTTGGTGAGTTAACCAAATTATAACACGAACCTTAAAACATCTCGCGAACTTCTTATCCCGTAGAGAAATTTTTAAGAACATGAGTATACTGACTCCTACAAAAACTGCAAAAACAAATAAGAGCCTGGAGGCGCAAAGAACTCAATGTTCTGTGCTTTACGTAAAGAAACTGAGCGATGTAGCGGGTATAATATTGCTCGGTTTCATCAACTAGACTTGGCTCTATATGGTATCAAAATGGGTCAATAGAGGGCTTAAGTGTTCTGGTGGGCCCTGCCAGTTGCGACTTCATCTTAACTTAACCAGTACTGGTTTGGTTTGCTGCCTTGAAATAGTTTTTGACCAACCCTTTCGTAAAGCTTCGGCCCATCCGTGTAAAACTTTACCGGTTCTTCCTTCCAACCACTGCCCCCTGTCCACTCATCTCACTCAGACTAATAACACCGTTATCCATGTTATCAGGGATGAAATCGTAGTTTCGAGGATAGTCATGTGTCCAGACCCCGAGTCAGTCTGGCAACCATTGCCGAAGCTGCTTTACCGGCGATGTCGACGGGCTTTGTGGTAAGCAAGATGTTAAGGGTCAGGTTGGGTGTGGTCCTAAGTGTCCCACTGATTGCAATGAGGCCAGCTCGTTGCGTTCGCTTCAACCTACGGACTAATGTAGAATTCAGTGCATTCCTCTAGACTGCATAAAACATAATGGGAGGGCGCGAGAGGGCACCATATTGCGGCGTGCCCCCGTTAACACTGCCCTGGACGATGGTACCACACCACTCCGCTGCGACAACTCTGTCACTGATCATGCGGTGAATGAGACTAAAAAGGTCTGCTTTAACCCCAAGCTTACTCAGGCATCTGACTGTAGCCCCCGGTAGTACATTGTTACCCACAGGGAATCGGCCTCACAATAGTAGGCATTCGCATGGGAAATGAAGAACTGTTTTATCACTGTGATCTGAGCATCAGCTACGGTAGTTTCTGTTGTATGGAAGTCCTATTCTGCACCGCCTTTGCAGGAATTAGGTATGAGGCTCTTGGCCGCGATATGTTTAAAGACGAACATCTGAACTCTTTGACACCCAAAATCTGCTTAGGTTTAAGGAAATTAAAACAGCAAAATGTACTCGTTGTTTTCGTGCCTATTTCCAACAAAAAAAAGTTCATCACAGCACCATTTTCACAGTGCATCCAAACGCGCTCATGTTCTAACCAATGCGTCTGATCTCTCGCTACCTTCTATTTCCCTCTGGCGGGGAGCCCAGACAATAGTGATGGGCATTGTCTGAGTCACGGAGCATTGTTCCACTTTTCTTCACTCTTTAAAAATCGTTGCCTGCATTTGGTTTCAGTACTGCCAAGCTATTAGGATGAATCTTTGCTATTTTTATCCTGGCTGTTTCTTTAGTATCCCGAAGGCCCTGCAGATACCCAGAGTTACGGGTTAGTGTAGGCATTTAAGTTTTCCACAAAATACCTTTAGTTGGTCTAAATATAGTCACATGCTCGTTACGCAAGGACTGAGACAGAAACGACACTCTATTGGCACATTTTAAAAAAAATTTTAATTTTTTGTCAATATAGTGCTATAACTTCTCCCGCTTAGACTTTGTTGCTTTTTCAATTTTTCCTAATAAACAATCGTGGTACAAAGCTCAATAAAAATATTAAAAATTTTAATTTTTTATTGATATATGTATGTAAAACAAATATTGCAACGAAAAGTTTTTTGACAGTATGGATAATTTCAGCAATTTAATTTTAAAAAATTAGCAAATTCCGAACTTTCAAGTTTTCATTTGAAATTAATATAATTTCTAAATATTTTTCAAAAATAGCCACTGTACGTATAATTAGTTTTCGCAACTAAATTACATTTTAAGAAACAACTGCATTCAAACCAATCAAAAAGTGAACCCTTTCGACCCAGCGGTCAACAAGGGTTAGGATTTTTTTTGCAATAAAAAATCATTTTTTTTTTAATAATATGCTTCATAATTAATTTTTGCACCAAAAAATGTTAAATTACCCATAGAGGATTGCTGCAATGCATACAAACTCAACTGGAAATTTAATCAACAAATCGCACACCATCTTCAAAAGAGAGACAACTCGAAAAAAAATGTTTGGTCGACTTTTATACATAAATCAATTCATAGGATTTATCTCCAATTACTGCAATAATTTTTTCTTCGTGATTATATTCTCTAACTAGAAAACTACTGTTATACATATGTACCTGTTTTTGTATTAAATAATTGGGTTGAATTGGCTGTTAGAGTTTTTCACTTGGCTAGAAATAACCCCAAGTTGTGAAAACGTCAGTTTATTGTTTCTTGGGAAATATTTTGATTCATGCAAATTCAAATTTTAAGGGAGGCCAATAAACGTTCGCCAAAGATAATACCGCTCATATTTTTAATTTCCCTACGCTGATAAGGTTTAACCCAAATACTAATTCCCCACACACTTACCTGACACACGACCGCCTAGACTGTAGCGCACCGATTGGCTCCTCGCATTGCTTTCCTCCTTTGTCATACGCGCCAAAACCAAACCTGGATGGTTCTTCTTGAATTCAGCGATATCCTTGACAACCGTAATGTCACGTACTTCTTGCTGTGTTAGGTTATTGCTATCTCTAGCGACACCAGCATTTACAACAGCATTTGCCAAAATGGCAAATAGGGCAATCGAAGCCAAACACATTACGCGCGAGTACATATCGGATTTATTATTATTATTTTTTTTTTTTTTGACAATAAAAAATTAACTTAAGTTGAGATTAAGCTTTAATTTTTAGATAAGTTTTTAGCCGGAAATTATAATGTTCGGAACTGTTGCCAAAACTGAATGACAATAAAATATCGCGATTGCGGCTATTTATATCAGAGCAGTGAGCGGTCGATAAAATTACAGCAGAAAATAAAAAAAAAAAAAATCGCTGCTTATCAGAGACAAGTGTGAAACGCTATCAACAGGTGCTAAAGGAAAAAATACAAACAGCAAACAATCCAAACAACGGCAAAACAAAATCACTACTTGTTCGAAAGTCACCGATAAGTGGCGCATCGCTGGTGATAAGCGTCGAACTGTCAGGGTAACTGTGTGCCCTACACAATTCAAATATGACAGCTACGAAGGGGAGATCAAGGGGAGAAGCACGTGAAATGGCAATATGTATGTGATAAATTTCGCTTGCAGACTTTACTATTTTGACAACGGAAAAACAAAAAGGTACATTGTTCAGTTCTTTCTTAGAAAAAATAACTGCATAAGACACTCGAAATACTATATGTATGTAACTTTGGCTTAACTTTTATAGGTGATCGTACACACACAATTTTTTAAACTTCTCTTTTCAACCAACATCATTAGTTCTTCGCGATCAGGTATCTCTCTCTGGTCGGGTTGCTTGTATCCTAAATTTAAGTTCAATGAAGAGGTGTCTGAACTCTTAACTCCTTTATGGGCATATGAACTGGTTTTCTTAACATAGTAGAGAACAAAGGTGGCGCCCACCTCGTGCCGCTATTCAGTAAATTTGACAGAATCGCTGTTTGTATGACATCGCACTTGTGCAACTTATTTACGTTTTTCTTGCAAAATTTATTATTCTTCTTCTTCCATTCTTGCTCGCGTTTTGACATTTATCTCTCGCAATTGCACCAGTGCAACGTCACACAAAAATCATTTTCAAAAATCCTCTCTGATAAGCGCAACCTTGTATTCTATCATTCTTGCGATATTAGTTACCCTTGAAAAATTATGAGCCCATGTAATTTCTTCTCCTTCTACAGAGCACTGGACAATCACATAGCAGACGCCGCAAAGTTTCTAGCTCTTATTCAATTCTTCAGCTTCTGTAGAAATCGTTATAGAAAACCCTAAAGCTCTCCGAGTGCCTTCCAATGGCAACATGGCCCATTGGCAGACCCATGGCTGTGGCTAGGTTACTTCTACCTATCAGGAGGAGACCTTTCGACCGCTTCACGTTCCACTCCGACCACCTGAGTTTCGTATATTGCAGGTGATGAGACTTGTCATTCTATCACTTGCCAATGTAAGAGATAGATCCCTTGCAGGTTGCGAGCAGCATATCTAAACCCTTTCAGGACTTTGAAAGTGGAACTGATGTGCCCCTTGCGGGTTATGTTTCGGTGCCCCGCCAACTGTAGCAAGTGAACCGCAAACTGCTCAGCTATCTCGTTTAGGGATCTACGGTAGTCCGCTACGGTTTTTGAATTGACTATCTGAGTAGATGGATACGTTGTTACATATGACTTATCCTGTACTTAAATATTCCACCACCTCATTTATTGCAGCAACCTCAGCTTGAAAGACGGGTTGTGGTTGGACAGCCGAAATAATTTGTCCAGCCCCAACTGTGCTGAGATTATGTGGAGTTCTACTCTAAGCAGTTTTTGTTGCAGGCATTGTGGGAGCTCGCCAACAAGACGCCCAAAGAGAATGGCATTTCTCCTGTTTGTGTTTCCTCTTTTGTTTGGGACCTCAGGGTTTCAGCAATTGTCACGCTGTCGACCAATACTACGTCGCGTGCAGTACAACTATCGCAGATTTCTTGCTTGTATCGGAAATAGGTTGCTTATGAAGTCTCAGTTTTCGCAAAGAAATTGAGAAAGCTGGAGATTTACTTTCCCGCGCTTCAGTGACATCCTTCTTGGGAAACGTTGAATCAAAGTGCGCCAAAATCGGAGCTCCTTAGAGAAGAAAATAGGACATTTGAATGGAGAACTTCTTACACCGCGCACATTTGGAAGCAATGAGCTGTTAATTTTCGAAGCTTCTTGAGTAACATGCTCAACTTGTTGTCGAAAGCCCAACCTTGGTCTTAAGACTTAACCTTAGCTGCAGCCTCTGAGTTTACAAGCGCTTTTCTTGCGCTAGCTAAATACTAACCTTTGCCACATTTCAAAGTTCGTTAGTGCCCGACCGTCAGCGAAACCTACGAGTTCCGCTCCCGAAGTAAGAGTTATACAAAAACTCCGTTGTACCTTACTTTCCATAGCAATGGATCTTGCACAGAGCCCTCTGGAACTACGGTTGTGATAACGAACCTCTTTTTACACACTTCGGTATTTTACTGAATAATGCGATTCGAGACGTAACTTTATAATATCTTCAGAATGTATACAGCTAGCCGTCATTGAAAGCGTTCCTCCGGCTGCGGTTTAGTATACAGACAGATCTAAGTTGAAAAATCGAAGAACTGGGGCAGGCATATTTGGACCGAATATCGTAAAATCGATACCAATGGTTAGCTAAAACACGACACGACACGACGCGAAGACTCATGCAATAGTAATTTTCGACAGAGAATGCTTTAGTAGAGGCACATCCTCGAAATATATATATTTGTATTATGTCTTAAATCGGGCAGCCGCATTGGCCCTGACGTCCCACAAAATAGGTTCCGAGCTAGTATGTGATTGCTTCTATGACCTAAAAGATTTTGGAGTTAAGAATACAGTTCAATTAGGAAGGGTGCCGTGGCATGAAGGACATGATGGCAATGAGGAGGTTGACAGTCTAGCGAAACGACGAGCTACCGCAGTAAATCATAGTCCGGAACCCTTTTGTGGGCCAACCAAAGCTCATATAAAGGGAACCAGAAATAACTGGGTAAATTGGATGGCATGCCCAGGCCAGAGATAATCCAAATAATTTATCTATCCTTCAAAAGAAGCTTTAAAGAAACTACTTAATTTAGGCAGAGAAGATTTCAAAACTCGCACGGTTCACTGTTCGCTTTGCTATCACTGCAGGAAAATTAATCTTTCAGATAAAAACGCCTGACGTATTTGCGAGCCGGACGATAAAACGCCAATGTCTGTGAATGTGACGCTCCTGCTAAGCGCAGACTAGCTCACTTGAGTTGTGCTACACTTAATCCATTTGAAGTTTGGAACAAAACGCCCTTGGACGTGCTAGGATATATTAAAAGCCTTCCCCACGTAGGACGGAGGGCCACGCGCAATAGATCGTTTTAGAGGTCGTATCCACCGCGACACAAACACTTTTGGGTCTTCTGCTACTGCAATTTTTAAGGCTTTATTTGGTTTGTCATCAGCACCTTAGGTCTTGCTCGGTCTGGATAAACGCTCCGAAACCTACGGAAGTAGTACTGTTCGTACTTCCTTAAGCATTACATGAAATTTTTCCTGTAGTGAGTGATTATATCGGGCGGCCACTACCCGATCAGCACCGTTTGTGTAATTTAAAATAACTTAAGAGACTCATTCATGCTTTTACGAATCTGCCGAGTGTTATTTTGTAGGAAAATTTTTTAATTATTTCTAGCCCACTGTGCGATTGGCAGGTAGCCTAATTAAACCCATTGGAATTTCAAAGTAATAAACATTTAAGCCAAATTACCAATCTGCACAAAATATTGATTTGACTTGGCTTTAATTAACATGATTTGTTTAATAATCTTCCACACAGCTGTATAAACAAATCGACGAATTTTCTAATTAAGAAATACTGCTAGTGTGAGTTCGATTGTCAATTAAGTGATAGCCAATTAAATAAGACTTTCCCCACTTGGCGCGAAAGGTCCAGAAAAATTCGTATTCTTAGAAATGTCAATCAAGTGTCACAATAATGGTAATATCTTTGATGAGTTATTAGTGTTTTTCTAGGTAATCTATATGTATTAAGCATTACTATAGATAAGCGCCTACTTATATAGATACATATTTACTATGAGTGGTCAAATACATTTTAAATTTATTGAAATATACGCAATTTATGTATAATATTTCATTATCTGCTGATTAAAAATTAACTCGATTTTCGGAATCAGCGCTCAATTCTTTATAGCAATTGTTAAAATTAAATTTAAATTTTTGGACAACTTTAAAAAAAAATTTAATTTTTTCTTTGGCAGAACTTCGTTATATGATAAAAGGAAAGTACTATAAAAAATTAGCTCAAATCAAAAATGGTCGATTCCAACCATTGTTTTTGTGGTTGTCGTAGCGGCTAAAACAACCCAGCCCAGATCGGTTAGTCCCTCAATCGTTGTCGTCAAGCTCTACTAGCGGTAGCCCCAAGAAGCGTGCGGCTTCGATGAGGTCTGTCCATAGGGACAGGAGCTTCGGTAGGGCGGGGTTCAGTGGGCATGCGAAGAGATGATGTGAGTCATGAGGCGTCTCTGCGCATGCCGGGAATTCGTTTAGAACATCTTCGTTTATTCGCCTCAGGCTGTCGGGTCTAGAATAAATATGCACATATGTATGTATGTAAGTTCACCCTACGAGCAACATTCCAAAAAGACGATGACAAAGTTCCGAGAGTAGTATTTTTGCCATGAATTAACTGGCTGCCGAGATAGGTCGATCTTTCACTCAGCCATCGATATATCTCTTTCACTCTGGGAGTAAGTTGTAGTACCGAACCTCGACATGATGCCGGCACGCGAGATGACACTGCTTGAAGAAAATTAAATTATGCATGCTTGCTGGCAGCGATCAGTCTGGGCTCGAATCGTCACATACGATATCGTACTACTCGTCACGTAAAGACATTTTTCGGATTATGACATATGTACATACGTGAACGTACTCTTTGTCCCATTCAGCTTGTACTGCTTGATGTATCACGTAATTTTTTCGTATCGTTTTCGATCCGTGGACGGATGTTACGATTCAAGCCCTGGTCAGCAATCGGTTCGAAGCGCGTGGGCTGTATGGAAGCCGGCCAGTGTTAATCCAGCCTGTTGCCGTCAAACTCATCTAACAGCAGAAAACAAATTATGACAAAAAATCGTTCTACAATGCCATCATACAACCACCNCACCGCGACACAAACACTTTTGGGTCTTCTGCTACTGCAATTTTTAAGGCTTTATTTGGTTTGTCATCAGCACCTTAGGTCTTGCTCG